GGGCCACTGAAAATTTAACTGTATATATACGAGATAAAGGAAGAAAAGTAAATAAGAAAGTAAGCAGATACCACTGGCGCTAGCTACAACTGCAGTCTTACAAAATTAATGTTCTATAATTAATATTAAAAGGTAGTCAATACTTTTATTTTAAAATAATCAAAAAATAATTTTGTTAATCATGTATTTATATTTAAGTACAATTTGAAGCCCTATACAACACTTCCAATGGATTAATATTCTTTGAAAATACCTGACATATTTTTAGCTCACTAATAATTAACATTAATCGAAATTCATTCGATTTATTCATTATTTGCGTGTGCATGTGTGTAAATTATATTACACCCCCACATGCCTACTAAATTGTTGCACAAATAATTATTTTACATTGAAACAGGTACATTTGATTTACTCCTGATTAGATTCTTATAACACTACTTCTTATATCTCACTTACCTTCGTATTATACCTCGTGAAACCCTTTTATGATGCACATTCTTATCCACATAGAAGCGCGTGTATTGTGGTCGTAGCCATTTTTAATAAAAAATGTGGTGCAGCTTAATGTATCGTAGTGTCGTACATAGCTTATTATATTTAACTCCTCAAGCACTTCTTTGTGACTTTCATATTGGTAATTGTCAAATAAAACTTAACCTATCTGTAGTACGTGGTTTCCATATTAGATCCACAAAAATGTCACTTATAGCTTCGTATGTGATGAATAGGTTTTGCTGAAACCTATATGTTACTAGTAAGGTAACGGAAAAGGTGTCATTATTCATAAGTAAAAAATTTTTTTTTTAAAGATTATTTTTGAAAAATTTTTCAAGTCCTGATGTAAAATGAGTGAAAAATATTAGAACATTTGATCTTTACTTTTATATACCAAACGACTGAATCATTAGAAAGGAAAAAACAACTAGTCTCTGTGATACCTTTTTTCAAAAATTCTCAGGTGAGATCTCAGGTAAAATCTCAGGTGAAATCTCAGCTGAGTTTTTGGCATGAGATCTCACCTGAGATCTTAGCTGAGATCTCAGCTGATGTTTGAAGGTAGGGGCAACATTCAGTTTTATGTGCAGTCCTCTATTTATGGGGTTAATATTTAGAATGATTTTAAATACTTTAGTCTATTGCTATCATTTCTGTTCTGCATTATATTCCATCCGTTTAACGCGCGATTTAGTTTAATCGCGATTAGAAAAAAATAATATTTTTTTCTGCACGCATTGTAATTGTCACACCCTCTTTTTTAATCGCTCCATACGACTATCGCAGAAGAAAAAGATTCACATAGAAATCATGTTAATAACTCAATAACATGACTTACTCCCACAAGTAAGTAATGAATAAACGAAGCAATAAATAGATTTGTTATCTTCGAAATACCATTCAAAACAACACCTTATAAAAATTATAGAACATCAAAGCCTGAGAAGAGTTGGGAGGAGACAAGTTTTCATGCAAGTATTTTTTCATTCGTTTTATTTATTCCCTTACATATTTTTAAACTTTGAATGCTACTTTTAATTTTTTTAGCAGTATTTTTAAAGTTTTCTTTTCCAAAAACTGAAAATCAGCCTAATTTTTCTCTCGAAAAATTTTTTCCTTGAAGCTCACTAATCGAGCCTGCTACTCAATGTTTTCAGGTGCGATTGTTGAATGTCACACAAGCGGATAGTAAAACTCAGTCAAAAATTTATAACTATAAATATACCTATAAATTATAGCTATAATTACCTATAAAACAGCTATAATAATGTGTTAAATACAGCTTTAATTATGGCTATAAATTACAGCTGTATATTTTTCTCAAATTTTGAATAAAAGTTAAAAATCAGTTTTTTTAGAGATACATCAAGCAGCATGGGTGCTATCAACCGTATGATAATATAACAACTGGGGAACTGCAGTATTTTTGAATAAGTAGGTGAAAAACAAAATATCATTTACAATTTCAAGTTTTTCAAAATTGTTTCGAAATACTTGAGGCCCTCAGTTTTACTGTTACGATACGGATGATAGCAACTATACTAATCGATATATCTTTAAAAATCTGATTTTAAATCAATTTTTATTTAAAATTTTTGAAAAATTAACAGTTTTAATTTATAGCTATATTTATAGTAATATTATACACATTATTACAGCTGTTTTACAGCTAATTATAGCTACAACTATAGTTTTGATTTATAGGTATAATTATAACAATATGGCTCCCAAAGTGACTGTGGTAGTGTGGTGTACAGTTGTACACATATGATGTAAAAATACAATGTGTGGCGTTGCGCATCCATTTTGATTGATCAATTATGAACGCTTCCATCGCGCCGCCATGTCTATCTGCGAATTTCATAAGCTTTTAAAATATATGGCATATTAACATCAAAAAACTCGTAAATCAATATATATTTCTTATTTCAATTTTTTTATTCCAGTTGCTTCCGTGACCAAACGTACAATGCGTTAATATTAAGGTGGCTCCTCACTACTTATAAATCCCACAAGAAGAGTAAGCATACCGCAACACAGCTTTTCATTGACTGTGGAGGTTCTTGACTAAAAATGGATAGATACCTATAGTCCCTTCAAAAAAAGTTTAGTCACATCTACACCGTTGACCTATATCGTACAATACAGTGACCCGAGCAGATGTATGTATACAAAAAGTACATATAAGTCAGCCACGTATTAAATTTGTTTTTTAGTTCAGCGTCTCATTTATTTTTTCTACGATTACGATTCCCCACAACTCCTATTCATTTTACGTACAACTTTCTGATCAATTCAAACTACGCGGGCTACCGCTCTTCGGTGTAGCAGACGCCCCACACTTTTCATCTGTTTCGTGACTTGCACAGTTATCTACTATTTTCACAAAATATCCTATAAAACCCATGGTATTGTCCAAGTACCTGAATGTCGTTGGAAAAATTCTGATTTCTTCTATCTGCTACACAGTTTTCTATTAAGAACTACAGTATCTTTGCTGAGATATCATACAACCTGCGCCACCAATTTGACAACCCTCCACAAGAGGCTATGTTACAGAGTCTTTTTTCCAGTTAGTTTTTTTCAACAATTTTGGTGGTGACGAGGTCTAAAATTTTGGGAAAAAACTCCTTGCACCTTCAAGAATCATTCTTTAAAATATCATTTAATACTCCAGTGTTTTGATTTAGTAAGGAGCCACCTTAACACAGAAAAACTGACTAAATAGGTAATTAGTCATCAATTGACGTTCATGTTTATTCACACGTATGTTAATATCTATATATATGTCTCACTTCGAGATGGATGCGGGGGATAGGTTTTAGTTTCAACTTTGGCTAACTTCATTTCATTGTACAGGCACTTCGGCGCTGTAGTAGTCACATCTCCCTCAAATATGGCGTCTCAATGGCAATGGCAGGTGCAGAACGGCACGAAAATGAGACCTTGGAACGCCACACCTTGCACCAAGCCGCATTTTACACCAATGGATAGAAAATAAAACGTTGTTACTGAGAATGTCGTTTTCGGCAAGATTAGAAGTACCCGAAAATCTACCTTCAAAAAAATAGACTCCCTACCCGATCTTATCTATATTACTCACCTAAGATAATATATGAGGCGTTAGAGATAACATTGCAGATAAGAATACAATATCTATCATAGACATAAGAAATAGACCGATCGGTCTTATGTACGGCGCTGAAGCACAAGTAGAAAGAGACACAACATCGAACGCGCATACCTGTCTCTTTTGCACGTTGCCAACGGTGGGGGTGAGTAAACTAAAAACAAGCTGATGCAACCTCTCCACCGTTGGCAACGTGCGAGAGAGCCACATAAACACGTTCGATGTTGTGTCTCTTTCTATGTGGACTTTATTTACATAAGAACGAGCAGTCTATTTTTTATATGTCTATGATAGATATTGTATTCTTATCTGCAATATTATCTATAATGCCTCATCTATTATCTACCACCGACGCGTACACCACAATACAGTTAGACCCGTAGAGGTATAAAAATAACCCTTCTTATACCTCTATGGTTAGACCAAGGGCTGAGGTCGAAGGGTGCCAGCCAGGGTGGTCAAAATTTTATCCAGTCACCACTTTCACCAAAATTGGGGACCCTCATGATTCGTAGAGATCCGATATATTTTTGTCATATTGTATTTAGTGAAGAGTTGTGTGGTAATTATGGTAGTGCTATATGATTTTTTATTACCCAGCTGCAACTTACACCAATAGATAGAAAATAAAAAGTTGTCACAGAAAGTGCTATTTGTGGCAAGATTAAAATGCATCTTGAACCCAAAAATTGACCTTCAAAAAAATTGACTCCCTACCCGATCTTATCTATTTAGATCTATCTATCTATCTATCTATCTATCTATGTATATATCGGATCTCTACGAATCATGAGGGTCCCCAATTTTGGTGAAAGTGGTGACTGGATAAAATTTTGACCACCCTGGCTGGCACCCTTCGACCTCAGCCCTTGGTCTAACCATAGAGGAATAAGAAGGGTTATTTTTATACCTCTACGGGTCTAACTGAATTGTGGTGTACGCGTCGGTGGTTTTACTGGCCATTACCGCTGTTAACGCAGCCTAAAAGTGTCGCATTATCATAATGTGTGAGAGACTTTATGTTAACTAGTCATGCCTACACCAATCAAATAATAAATTTTGGTGTTAACGTTTTTAGTGAATATATATATACATATATATATATATTGATGTTAATCGTGGTTGATGATGTGAGTATTATTTTTACCGCCTGTTTTGTGGGTATGCTGATATCGTACATTACATTTTTTATGTCAAGCCATAATTGTTACAAAAAAATAACATGATTGATGCCACCAATGGTCCTGCTTTTGTTGTTGATGTGATATCATGAATGATTTTGCTAATATTTTTTGAAAAAATATTTAGCAGCTGTGTGTTACGATCAATTTAAAAGCACTCTGACCAGTTTTTCTTAAGTAGTCTTTTAAAATTTTCGAAAAATGTTTTAATTGCTTACAGTATTTGTGAGTGCTTGTAAATTTTTAATTTTGTTAATTTTTATATTCATGTACTGAATTTAATGTGTATTCTAAGACCAGTGCACACGTGAGTGGAAGAGTTATATTTAATCCCTAAATCTCGAATGATGAGTGATTATTTAAAATTTAACTACATTTACATTGTTTCATAATAAGTCTTTTTAATAAATATTATGGAGGTGGTATTTTTTTGGTGTTTTGGGAACTACTACTGGATTAAATCACGACTATTTTCTATCATATCATAGTTGATTGATAATTTATCTAATGCTTGATTGGTTTTTTATTCTTATCTAGTTTAAATTGGTTAAAATGCTTACGTCTCTTTTTGTGCAAAAGAGTCTTTAATCATTCCCGAGTTATGATGGTAGTGATATTCAGATGTTCTTCCGGAAATACATTATCCACCAGTTTTATTTTGAGGATATCTAACAACAAAATTGAGAAAATTTTTTGTATTCATCAATTGTTAATTAAACACATCAAAAAACTAAGGTCAATATTCTATATAAATCATAGACCGATATCTTTTAAAATTTAGCATGAAAAGTTTGTGGTTTCAATCCCATTGTGTATTGGAGAATTAGCTGTGTTCGAAAATTGTACATTATTAGAAGTAGAAGATCAGTTCAGATCTATTTGCTGTACACAAAAAGACACTTTATCCTTCAGTAATTCAGTAGTATCTATTTGCAATACTTTTTTAAGCATGCGAGGTATATTATTTTCTATCAGTTTACCTAGTTATGTGACAGGTATTATTTTGAATAAATTATACATCATGGTTTGCTCTAAGGTTTTGGTTGTTGAGGATGCTGTACTCAATATCAGATATTGTTTTAGCTAGTTTTGTTCCTATCAAACACACACACACACACACACACATACAACCAATTTTGAGTCTGAAAAACTTACAATGGGTTAAAAACTATATAAATGCAACGATCAGATTGAAAAAAACTAAATAATTAAAAAGGTGGGGAGAGTGCGATTTCTAGGCCCCCCAGATTTGAAGGATCCTCTAGGAGTAATGGGCGTCGTTGATTACGGGAAAAATAGTTTAAAAAGTCCCAATCTCACTTATTTCGAGATATCGAAAAGAAAAAAAAATAAAAAAAATAATTTCATACATATTTAGTTGGAACCTTAAGGTGGTTCTTTCATGACTTCCAAGTCAAAGGTGCGACAGTCAAGTTGATATTTATTAATGCTGCTTACATTTTAAACGAGTATTTGTTAAAATTGTTTTAAAACGTACGCGAGGGAGCCATTACTGATTATACTATAATTTTCTCGTAATCAGTGACCTCGATTACCCCTTGAGACACTTTCAAATTCGGGGGGCTCAGAAACCGTACTCTGCCCACCTTTTTAATTATTTAGTTTTTTTCAATCTGGTCGTTGCATTTATATAGTTTTCAACCCATTACAAGTTTTTTCGACACGCCGTGCGTGGGGACCTCGATTATGAGCCATCTGTTGTGGCTCTAAAGACCTCGATTTACACACGCGACTCATAACTCGCGCTGCGCACTCGTGCGAGTGCGTGTGTACGTCGAGATCTTTGCAGAGCCACGTTAGATGGCTCATTATCTCGTTCCCCGCTCACGATGTGTCGAAAAGTTGTATACACCACACGTGCGGGGGGTTAGGTGATTGACGCACGCGTGTCAGTTCGCACACGAGTGCTAGCGAGTTCCTCACGCACCAGTAAGTATCGTAATATATTATTTAGACTCTAAATTGGTTGTGTGTGCGCACGCGCTCGCGCGCGTGTGTGTGTGTAAAAAAAACAAAACTAGTTAAAACAACATCTGTTAGTGAGTATATCATCCTCAACAACCAATACCTCAGAGCAAACCATGATGTAAATGCGTGTTAGTAATGTATGGTGTTACATGGATTACTAGTTTTAGTGATTTCCTTACAAAATTTATTTAAAGGTTAGTCTTGAACTTTGTAATCATTGAAGAATGCACTCGAATGCATATAGACTGCAAACGGTCTGTGAGCACAATGCGAAAAATGAATATTCGAAGTCCGCCAGTCCAGCGATAATAACGCGAAATACTTACTCGCTACTTTATTAATTATTACATCATCAAATAATAATCCAAGCGCCAATCACCGTGACCCAGGACACTTACTGGCTACTTAAGTCATAAATAAACAATAATAATTAACGGAAGCTCCTAACATCAAGTAACTCTGGGCACTTACTGGCCACGTCATTCATCTGTAAAGCATTAAATAGAAACACAAGCCCCAATGATCAGGCAACGTTGTGCATTTACTAGTCGCATTACTAATTAAAAAATAACCCGGTGTGCTTACTGGCCGTTTTGTTAATTTGTAAATTATTAGATACAGATCTAATTGCCAATCATCACATAAGCTAAGGCACGTACTGGCCACTTAATTAATTATTAAGTATTAAATAGTAACACATTCACCAATCACCATATAACCTGAGGCGCTTAATAGCTACTTGATGAACAAATAATATTAAAAAATTAATAATTAACCGGAACGCCAAATGCTAAGGTACATGGGGCACTTACGGGCCACGTTGCGAATCTATAAAGCATTAAATAATAATAAGCGCTAGTCACTAAACAATCCGGGGTACTTACTGGCCACTTGATAAATAAACAAAGAATAAATTACCTAAACAACAATCACTACATAACCCAAGGCACGTACAGGATACTTCATTGATTGTCAAGCATTAAATAATAAGAAATGCCTATCACTAGTTAACCTAGGGAATTTGCTAGTCACATAACTAATTAACAAATAAACAACAAATAAAGTAAGTGCCAATCACCAAGTTACTAAGGGCACTTATTGACCACTTTATTAATCTCTAAAGCATTAAAAAAAATATCGCAAGCGCCAACGATCAGGTCACATAGAGTACTTGCTGGCCACATTAATGAATAATGAACAACCCCGGTCGCTTACTGGCCGCTTTATTAATAAATATATTATTTAATAATAACTTATTGATTAATCAAACTTAACCCGAGACACTGACAAGCCGCGTTATTCATCTATAAAGCGTAAAAAAATAATAACCAACGATCACCAAAAATTCCGGGACACTCACTGGCTACTTCAATATAAAGAAAAAAAAATTAATAAATAAAGACATAAATAACTAAATAACCTAAGCGCTTATCATGAAGTATCTCGAAGCACTGACTGGCCACGCTATTAATGTATAAAGCATTAAATAACAATAAAAGCTTTTACTTTACTTGGTGGTTGGTGCTAAGGTTATTTATTGTTTTTTTTTAATTTTTGAGTTAAGTGGTTAGTAAGTGCTCCGGGTTATCTGATAGCTAGTGCTTGTTATTATTTATACAAAAATTAAGTCTTACAAATACAATCAATGTACTCTTATAGTATCTTTGTACTCCATGCATCTTAAACGCAAAGATTTTGGACTGGTATTCGCTGTGAGTGTAAAGATAGCCAGCGCTCGAGTTGGCAATTTTTTGCAACGCTGGCTGGATAGCGGACAACTTCCACAATGCCAAGTCTCTAAAAAATATTCACTACAATAAATATGATGTGAACAATCAGCTTGCCTACAAAAAATGTGTGAAGTGATTTTAGTGCATGCTTAACTCATACGCCTGTAACAAAGTCGAGTAGACTAACCTTTTTCTGTTGTTTGGCCTGTCAGATGCATCAAATTTGACGTCACGTTTTTTTCTGGTAGCCTCATCGAGCTATTTTGTTCGACTTTGTTATAGGCGTATGAGTTACGCATGCACTAAAATCACTTAACACATTTTCTGTAGTTAAGCTGATTGTTCACATCATCTTTTAATAGTGCTTGCTCAACCGTACAGAAATCGTATTAATTGTAATGAACATTTTTTCGAGACTTGGCATTGTGGAAGTTGTCCGCTATCCAGCTAACGTTGCAAAAAATCGCCGACTCGAGCGCTGGCTGTCTTCACTACCACAGGTGGGAGGTGCTTGTGTTATTTATTGATAATTAATTACTTAATAGAGTGGCCAGCAAGTGCGCTGGGTCATCGGATGATAGGCGCTTGTGTTATTACTTAAAAATTTATTATTTGACAGAGTAGGCAGTAAGCGCCCCAGGTCATCAGGTGGTGGGCGCTTGTGTCATTTAGTAATAAATAATTATTTAATAGAGTGGCCAGTAAGCGCCCTGGATCATCAGGTGATAAGCGTTTACGTTGTTTGACCTTATTTAAATGTTGTGCTTACGTTCGGTACTAGTTTCGGGGACATTGACCGAACATGCCTTAGTATAATGGAACCGTAGGACAAATAAGTCTTTCCCTGCATACTTGTTGTAGGTCGGCTTTGATCGGTTTCGGAATCTTCCCAATAGAAAGTTTCGATAGTGGTGGGGGTATGCATAGATCCTCTTCGTCAACACTATCTCAAACGTATACCAGTCGTATTCTTAAGGACGTTCGGTAGAGATAGAACCCTGTGATGAATCTTTTTGAAATTTTAAACAGACGTTCTCATTGTTGTTACAATGAAGCTGTTAAAATTTCAAAAGGTTCGTCTGTTTCGTTTCCGAGATATTGAATTTCAAAGTTCAGTCATTTTAACACGGTCGCTTATGGGAAAACTTATAAAAACTCAGTTTAAAAAAAAATGGCTTGATGAATGTCTCCAATTTTTTTATATGTCACAGATAATGTTGTTAACTATATGTACACAAAGTTTCGTGACGATCGTCTGATTAGTTTATAAATAAAAAAATTAAATAATAGTTCGACAAAAACGCAACGGCAACGTCGCAAGAAGCGGGAAATTCAAAATGTTTCAGGTCGTAAATCAGTAAATATTTGAATATTATGGTAGATATTCATGTATTTCTGTATAAAACATAAGCTTACATATGTGTGTGAATGTATGTACATAGGTTCTACCCGAACCCATAACAAAATATTGTATTATAATAACACATATTTATTTTTCTTAAAAAAATTTTTAATTTGTAATTTTTATGCAATACAATTTTTTTACACAAGATAACAAAATCACATGCTTGTAGTAATCGCAGAGACT